CCAGTTCAGACCAGTCCAGTTCAGACCAGTCCAGTTCAGTCCAGTCCAGTCCACCAGTGCGTCTCTAAACAAATCATTTCAGTCAGATGCATTCCACGTTTATCCTGCTTATTAAAATGTTTCTGCAGGTTTTCAAGGCTTTTTGAAACCATTATGAATTAAATTGAAGACTTTCTGCTTCAACCTGCAAAGTGGGGATAAATGTCCACTTAGCCAGTACGGGCCGCTAGCCGCTAGTTAGCATTAGCATCAACTTCCTGAAATGAAGATGTCGACAAACTTTTGCCTGAAAGAAAAAACTAAACTGTCCAACAGAGACAAAATTTAAGACGTGTGATTATTTAAGGCCGACTTGTTGTTTTCTATCAACTGGTCTTAATTTAAGGCCTTAGTATCAGATACATGAATGTTTTTAAGGATGTGTGGACCCCAGGCATCAACCAGCTGTAGGTTATGATGAAGTCCTGCGAAGTTTGTCAGCTTGAGGTCTAAAGAATGACGGCAGTGAATTCACTACTGAAGCCAACTGACGATGGCCTTAAAGGCAACATTTCAGCGTCATAACGTTAGAAGGCCTCGCTGTAATGAGCCTACTTCCTGTAAGCTACAGGAAGCAGCTTACCGTTCCGTCCTCCATCATCCGCAGACACGAGCCGAAGTCGGCCAGCCGGATGTGACCGTTGACGTCCAGCAGAACGTTGTCCGGTTTGATGTCTCTGGAAAAGCAACATTCAGACGGTTACAGCGCCTGCAGGCTCCACCAGGGGGCAGCAGTGGAGCCGTTCCTCCGGGCAGCAGCTACCTGTGGATGTACTGCTGCTGGTGGATGGAGTGGATGGCCAGAACCATCTCTGCCACGTAGAACCTGGCCATGTCTTCAGGGAGACGGTCCTCAAACTTACTGAGCAGCGTCAGCAGGTCTCCGCCCACGTAGTAGTCCATCACCAGGTACTGCAGCACAGCAACCAGTCTGTCAACCAGTCTGAGCAACATCAGGCTGTTCAGAATCCACCACACCTACCAGGAAGTTGTCATCCTGGAAGGCGTAGTGCAGAGTGGTGATCCACTGACTGTCCCCTTTCACCAGGACGTCCCGTTCCTCCCGGAAACACGCCGTCTGCACAGAGGAGACGCCGGCGACATGTTGGCAGCATGTTGGCGGCAACCTGTGACGAAGAGGAGGAGGAGGAAGGCTGGACTCACCTCGGCTCTCTTCAGCATCTCCCACTTGTTCAGGATCTTCATGGCGTACACGCGCTCCGTGTTCTTCATCTTCACCACGGCAACCTGCAGCAGCCAGAGAGTCAACACGGCCAACCATGTTCCAACACAAGCTGATTATTCTAATAATCAATAATCTATCGATGATTCTCATGATTAAATTAAACTCATGTTTTCATCTTCAGTTAACTTGATAAATAGATTCTCTCTCTGTGTCCTTGTGAGCGGCGGATCTTTGATGAAAACAGAGCGGCCGTTTGCTCGCTCTGCGTTATGCTAGTAGCAGTTAGCTTTCGTCAACAACTCTTTGGCGGATGCGAGAGCGCTGCACAACGCCAATAATCATCCGGCCTGAAAGCATGGAGTAAATAGTAAAACATAATTAAACGAAGCTTTGGGGCAGATAATTTGCCTGAAGGAATTTTAATAATCGAGGAACTAAAAACATTTCATGAATCTGTGCAGCGTTGTTCTGTTTAAAGATGGCCGCCGTCTCTGGATGGATTGTAAAGTTGTTCAGAGCGACAGGATGGCCAGCAGGCGAAGGAAGAAAGCTAACGGCTAACAGCAAATATGATGTAAAGGTCGGATAAATGCGACATAAACACTTTGCTCCTGGAACAAATCAGATTTCTTGGTCATGTTTTTTGCTCTTTGAACAAAGCCTTAGATGGATCCAACAGATCATCTATCAGAAGTCAGAAGTTTTACCTGAACATTTGTAGCAGCCGACCGCATCAGGAGTCTCTAACTTTACCAGAAAATGTGATTTTCTGAACGTTTTTCTACATGGAACCTGAAAACCAGGCAGGATGATCAGAAGGAAAGAAAGGATTCTTCTTTATTTATCAACTCAACAGTTTCCCCCCACAGCATCATCCTGCCACCGCCATACCCGACAAATTGTTGAGTTTTGTAATCACCTGAGCAGATGCTGCAAACTGAAACTGTATTTTCTGTTTTTCATGTTTTCTGATCTTTGGCAGCTTCAGGTTTCATTTCTCCACTAAGGAGTTTTAATGGAGTTTGTTTTGGGATTAAACTGAGCAGGTTCAGGGCAGAGCTGCACCTTTAAGAGCTTTGGCTGAACAAAAGCAGCCACACCTGGAATACCTGCCCGATCACGGCTCAGGACGGCTGCGGGCCGGCCACGCCCGCTCCGCTCCGGTCTGTGTGCGTTTGTCAGGACCGAAGCGAAGCCGTCGGGGCGGGGCGTTCCCCACCAGCACAGCAACACGGTGCTAGAAGTGTGTTTGAGTCCCGAGGCGGCGGGCAGGTGTGGCTGCGGCACACCTTTCCTCTGGTATGTGGGCAATGCACACACACACACACCCCAGCAGCGTGGATCAGCTGGTTGCTCAAGCGAGCGTTCCTGAGGAACCTGTGAGCGAAGGAGGAACGCTGCAGCATGAACAGGAAGTGCAGGAAACGCTCACTTCCTGTTGGACCTCATCCCGTCCACATCCTTCCTATTCTCAGGAATTTGGAATAAAATCCAAACCCAAAGGGAATTCAGAGCTGCTCTAGAAACTCTGTGACTATTGGTTACAGGTTTTAACCTCCGTCTGAGCTCGGCTGCTGGAAACAAACAAACAGGAGTCCAGTCGGATCAGAACCGATCCCAGCCTGGAGTCACTCAGAGCTGGAAACAATAAGTCTCACAGCCGAGAGGAAGGACTTCCTGTAGGAGGGAATCCAGGCAACTTCCTGCTGATCTAGAGTGACGTTTCTACGCTCCATGACTCACCAGAACCAGGCGGTCAGGACGCTGCTAGCATCCAGCAACCCAACGCCTCGCTGTGAAGCTAACATGCTAACTGAGCCAAACAGCGCCTGCCCAGACTTATGAGGGAAATAAAACGTCTCGATTCATCGTTACGCAGATGACATTCAGATTTATCTTCATTTTAAGTTCAGTTTTCAGCTAAATCAACTTTTTGATTTTATTCCAGTAGCCATGTTTCCATCCAATTCTCCCGCACAGGGTTGTAAAACAGAAAATGCTAATTCTGTATTCTCATCTTCTGGGTTGGAGCAAATCGATCCTGCCTTGTTACACAGCTACGCATGGCTGTGATAAACAGGAAGTAGAGGTTGCTAAGTAACTGAATTTCTTCAGTGTGGTGCCTCTGGTAAGGCTCCAGTGTTTGGAGACGTTTGAACTCATCTGGTAAATGTGCTTCCTTTTCCCCCTTCGCGCAGCGAGTCCTTCTCAGAAAATCACAAGTGAGCGTAAAAAATGTTTTTACATATTTGGAGGATGTTATTTTGAAATGTTCCATTTTCATCCACTGTGATGTTTCACACAGCATCAGTCTGACGGGTAGGACCGGACCGGACCGTGTTTGTGTTTCGATGGGGAGGGTCATGTGACCTTTGGTCATGTGACCTTTGGTCATGTGACCGTGATGCGAGCGTTAACTGAAGCAGAGGTCGGTCAGAATATTTTTGACGTCTGTAATTATCAGCCCAAATATTAAAACTGCATGTTGCCGACGGCAGCAGGACTCGATGGCGTCAGCGTGACGTCACACTGCAGCCCAGATGTTCAGAGTCGTAACCCATAGCAACAGCAGCTGCTTTCAATCTGACATATGATGATCTGTATTAATAGAGAAGTTAATAAATTCCCAGGGTGACGGTGACCTTGGACGGGTTGCAGCAGAACCATCTGGGGTGTTTACACGGCGAGGCCCGGCTCCCTGCTGGACCTGGACTTTGACTGGACCGTTATCGCAGCGCGACGACCGACAGCAGCTGCACTGCGGCGCTGCAGCCAGAACAAACATCATGCTGGGGTCAAAGTTCACCAGCCAGCCTGGCCAGCAGCTCATGGACCCAGGTTCTGATCAACACTTTTAAACTGGTTCTTCTGACCCGGTTTAGACCCAAAACCCCTTCAGCTTTAAAACTGTTTCCAGGCAGGAAGTTCAGGATTTTCATCAGGAATGTAAAGAAATGATTTAACTTTTATTAACATTTTTAAATACGTTTATTTAAGTTCCCCCAAAATGAGTCTGAACCAAAGGAATCTTCCTCTTAGGTTAACGTGAATACAACATTGGTGCATTCAGGTTGCAAAACAAAGGAAGGAAAGACAAAAGGCCACAAGGAAGAGAGGAAGGAGATGAAGAAGGAAAGGAAACGAGAGAGGGATGCTTACAAAAAACAGAGGAAAGAAAGAAAGAAGGAGGGAAGGAAGGAGAGAAGGAGGAATGTAAGGGAGGAATGTAGGAGTGAAAGAAAAACATGAAGGAGGGATGAAGGTCACAGAGAAGGAAAGAGACGACCTTTAGAGACCAGGATGGAAAATAAAGCCTGGAAATTAGAAATATTCTCCCATTCCATTTCTATCCGACCCGGAGAACCGGATCCACTTCCGGACAGAACCGGGTCAGAGTAGAACCGGACCAGAGTAGAACCGGGCCAGAGTAGAACCGGGCCAGAGTAGAACCAGACCAGAGTAGAACCGGACCAGGAGTCCTACCTCCCCAAAGGCTCCTCTTCCGATCACCTTCAGCATCTCGAAGTCGTCTCTCTTCAGCCGCATGTCCTTCACTCGGCTGGTGAACGGCTTCACTGCAGACACAAAAACACACGTCGGACCTCAGAGGTTCTGGAGAACACCAGACCAACAGAACCGACCCGATCAGGAGGCGCTGGGGCCCCGCAGACCGCCGGCCCTGCAGCATCTTTAATTCATCTGATCTGGGATCAGATTTATCTGGGTCACTCTGACGCGGAGCCCAGGATAGAAACCACAGAACCAGAACCAGAACCGAGCGCAGGCAGGACCTCGGGCCGGTTCTGGAGAACTTCCCAGACGGATCCGATCCAGATCTTTTTCCCCCTCAGAGGAGGATTTCTGCTGTGTCACCATGGCAACACGTGATGGAGCCTCAGTTTGTTTTCAGATTAAAGACTTCTTCAGAAACGTCTGCGTTTCCCCGGCAACCAGCAGCTCGTTCCTGCTCATCATCGCAGGAACGTCGGGATAATCTGGACCTTTAATGATTCAGGAGGACTGATGCTGAAGTGAAACATGCAGCCTCATCAGTAACTGGTTAAATGTCTCCCAGTTGGTTTCTGACCCAGTTTTTCAGAAAAGTCCAACAGGTTTGATGTTTGGATGAAGACCAGGGTTCTGCTGGAGCAGAACAATTTGGCCCAAAATGACCAGATAACCAGGACTGAGGGAGACACCCAACCAACACCTTCATCCTGCAGCTGAAGGTCCAGAAGGTCCAGACTTTCTGGACCTTCTGGACCGAGGTCCAGTGTTCAGATGAGGCAGAAGACGAGACCTTCACATCAGTCAAGCACGTTGGAGGAGGCATCATGCTGTGGTCAATGTTTTTATCAATCTCAGACCAACAGGTTCCGACCGGAAGATGATCCAAACACAGAACCAACCGGGTTCTGGAAGGGACATTTCCACTGAGCGGTACGGAAACGGGCGGTCCGGTACCACACAGCCCCGGGTCCGTTTCAGTTGACGGTGCGGTCCGGTTAGGGCGGAGCTTCTGGCGTCACTCAACACGTCCACAGAACCATCAGAACCTCTAAGAAGATGATGATGATGATGGTGTGTAAGTCAACATCTGCAGTGTGACGAGAATTCATCACACCTCTAACCAAACAGCTGGACCATAACCGGCGTACCGACCCGTTCGGTACCACTGAGAGGAAACGAGGCTTTTGTTTCTGGATCCTACCAGAAACCTGCTGAAAACACTGCAGGGCCACTGAGAGCCGCCTGAGGAGCAGGTAAACATCAGGTGGTGCTGATGTCACAACCTGTGGGCAGGATTTCCATCCTGTGTGGAGAAAATGGATGATATGAATCTTAACCTGATTGATCTTCATTCAGCTGTGAAATGTTTCATTTTCCTAAAAAAGAAAAACAAAAACGTCTCGAATGCGTGAGTAAAACTTGGACCGCCTGGCTCTGAACCGACTTTGTTCTGAAGAGATCCATTACAGATAAGAGCTGTGGGTTTGGTTCTGAACAGATCCGACTCTGCTTTACAGCAGCTCTCATCGTTTTGTCCGTTTATTCTGCTGATGTCTTCACGCACCGTTCAAACCGACGTTAAACCTCCGAATTCAGCAGAACCTGATCGGAGCATCTGAGCCTTAAGCAGCTCCTGGATCCAGGTCATTTAAATCAGGACAGGCTCTGAAACAGGGACAGACTGAACCAGGCCAAACTGGGCCACCAGGCAGCTGCAGCCTCCACGCTCAGCCGGGCCTGGTTCTGGCTGTGAGCAGAACCAGGTCCGGACCAGGACAGCCTGGAAACGGACCTCATCATAGGCCCGGTTCCCCTCTGACTCCTCTCATTGGCGATGGGCAGAAAAACCTACATTTTTAAGTGGTTGAATCAAGAAACCTGCAGATTATTTGATTTTTAGGTTCTATCCTCTTTAAAGGGGCAGTAACGTGTTTTCCAGACACATGGTGCCATTTTAATCCAGAACCTGTTACCTTCTGTTGTCAGAAAATGATACATATATCAAATATGACAGGATACCTTGAAATTGGGCCTCTGTCTCTTTAAATCTCCTGCTCTTTCTGAAGCTCTGCCTCCAGGAAGTCATCCCAACATGGCTCCTCTATTAACCCTTTAAGGTTTTTACCATCGTTGCTCTGAGCAGCAGCTCCTGTAATGAGCTCAGCAGCTGTTTGCTAATTGCTGCTGGCTAGTATGAAGGAGATGAGAGGGGGAGGAGCTGCATCTCGAAGGCGGGGCTAGGTCCGCCCAGGCGTTTTGGACAGCTGAATGGTTGCCATGGAGATTTAAGGATTTCTCAAACATGCATGGAAGAAAGCAACACTGCAGGTTTGACTTTGATGACATTTTAAGGTGACACTGCCCCTTTAAAACAAGACCAGGAGATTTAAGTGAACCAGAAATCGGTACTGGCTCAGTTAAAGCCTGATCAGTGGCCCCAGCATGTTGGACCTTCTGGAATAATCCAGATGAAGCCTTAGAGCTGGTCTAAGTAAAATCAGTGACTCTGGATCTTCTCCGCATCATTAGAGGCTCAGTTGTGGTTCCTCTGCTCCTTCCTCCCAGGACCACACCCACAGCTTTCCCAGGGATCCCAGAACAGATCCCCGATCGTTTCCAGAGATCCCATCAAAGCTCCTGTCATTTCCTAACCGGAAGAACCCCGCAGAACCGGTCCAGATCATCCCGCACCCTTCAGATGCTCCCGGTCCGGACCTGTTCATTGAGAAGAGCCGGTTCCGGTCTCGGTTCTTACCCCAGTTCAGGAACTCGGTGATGTGCTTCTCCCTCTTCAGCGGGGAGTTGGAGCACTCGGTGTAGAGGCAGAGCAGCAGGTCCAGCAGCGCCTCCACGCTCAGGCATCCCGCCTCCTTCTGCTCCAGCAGCAGCTCCTCCAGCCGCCGCAGCCGCTCCTGAGCCGACATCCTACCCGGCTGGGACGCTCCGCTCCCCCGATCCGACTCCCGCCGCCGCCTGCCCCGCTCACCGAGTCTGCGCCGCCGCCGAGGCTCCGCTTCCTGCCGAGGCTGCTAGCAGCAGCTAGCCCGTTAGCTCCGGGAAAACATTCCCGACATTTTGAGCCGCCGGGATGTCGCAGAGTTCTGGCCGCCTTGCGCTCCGTTACAGCCGGCCCGTCGCGTCGTGAGCCGAACAGCCACCAGGCCCGCGGCTGTCCGCCCTGCACATCGGCTTTAATCCGGTAAATCTGGACTTTCCGCTCAGAAATCGGGACGTCGGTAAGAGCGTCGACTCTCAGGCTGACCGCCGCAGCTCCATGTCCCCCGGTCGGTCTATCAGTCCAGGAATGCAGCCAGGAGTTCCGAACCTGAACCGACTGGACTCGGGGCGTCCGTCAGAATCGGGCCGCGGTGTACCGGGGGTCTACAGGCGGTTTTTGGTCAGTTTGAGGCGCCTGCCGGTGTGGCTGATCAGTGGGAATATGGCTGAATCCAGGTCGGATCATCCAGAACAAGTTGAACGTGATGAGCCTCATTTCCGGTCAACGGAGCTTCAAAATAAAAGAAACTTATTCAGCAGCGTTTTGTAGCGTATTTTTTGTTTGTTTGAAATTTGTAATAGTCTTCTGCTTCTTTTCACGCATGATTTCTTTTAGTTGTTACATGAACTATTTATATTTATTATTGAGTGAATGAAATAAAAAAATATTTCATTATAAATAAAAAAATTAAAGCTTGGTAGTAACTTTCCATCCATCCATCCATTTTCTTACACCCTTGTCCCTAATAGGGTTGGGAGGTACTGGTGTCTCTCCAGCAAATGTTTTGGGCGAGAGGCGGGGTCACCTGGCTGCCAGTCTGTGGCAGGGGTAGTAACTTTGTGACGCACAGTTAAATTGTTTACATAAGTTCCTTTATATTATTATTATTATTATTATTATTATTATTATTATTATTATTATTAAAGTTGTTGTTTTTAGAATAAAATATGTTTTGTTTCCAGCCACTGGCCAGTTATTTCAGGTGTCGCAGCAGCATTAAGGCATGTAGGTTGTATGTATATATTATATATAAAAAAGGTTATTAATAATACACTGTACACTATTATAACTTAAAAAATACTGTTGAGTTAATTAGAATAGTTTACTCCAACTAACTGGGATTACTACAATAGACTGTTTACAATGTATGAATAAAAACAGATGTGCAATACCAGCAGAAATGTTATTTAAAATGAGTAAAATTGTGTAAATACCAGCAGGCATGTAAAAACAGATTAACACAGAATGCAGCAGTCTGTCACTGCAGGTCAGCAGCAAATTCAGTGGATCATGATGGTTTGATAAAAATCTGAAATTTATTGCAGTGGATTTCCTGCAAATGCATGTTTCATTTTACTAAGTAACCAGTTCAGTTCAGTAACATGGATTGTGTTGCACTTTCAAATAAAGCTTTTCTAAATAAAAGACAAGAATTCCTACAGTTTCTTCATTGTACAGTCAAATGCTAATTCCATCTATTTCCAGCAACAAGAACTTCATACTGTAAAAATACCAGAAAACATTGTGATTAAATATGTCAGTAAAAAACAAACATCTGAGTACGCACGCTTCAGGAACATCTGTGGCTGGTTTTATTGCATCAGTGCTGCTAACATACTTTCTGCTGCCTTTCTGACAAGCTTGTTTTTGTACATACACATTTTATTCATAAAATTGGTCAAAACTTGTTTTGTTTTTTTTACAAATATGTTTACCCTTGTATCATGCTCTTATTTCGAAGGCTCAAATCCAGTGCGCGGAAGTTGGCCTATGCTGTTGAACGAGGACGTTACAGATCTGTGCGTCTCTCCCAAAAGAACACGCATGCCCCGCCCTCCTGCACCGGAAACGCTCCAGATACATGACGTCATGTGGTGATTGACAAGAGCTGAGAGAGACTGGTACACACACACACACACACACACACACACACACACACACACACACACACACTGACATCTTCATGTGACATCATCTGAACAATTAAGTAAACAAGGAGCTTCACTTGTTTTCAGACTTAGTGGATGAAACGAATCAGGACAAATAATCACATCGAATTAAATTACAAGATTAGTTGCATCATTTTATTTGTACCTATTTAATGAAGTGTTTTTGATTGTTAAAATTTTATTTAAAATCTTGCAGATTTTTTAGATTTTAATCCTTTAATAAACATTTCTGGTGTTAGTTAATTTATTAACAAAAACAATTTTAAAAATTTATATTTTATAAAGTCAGTTTCTTCATTTCAAGAAAATATTTTATGCAGTAAAAACCGTTTTTGCAGTTATTTATATTTTAATGGGTTTGTTAAGATTTGGAAAGTAAAAACATATTTATGAAATGTAAAAAAAAGTTTTTTAAAAATGTAGAAATATAAAAAATATATATACAAATAAATAGTCAACATAACAGAAAAGAAAATCTCAGGTTTTCTGAAGCATAAAAATTAGACATAAAAATGTAAGCGATTAATTTAAATTAATAAATTATAAATTAATTTGTAACTACAGTTATGCTGTGGGTCTTAATTTTGTGACTTTGCATCTTTTATTTGACCTCAAATTCTAACAATATGGACAAAACACACATTTATTTAATAGAAGAAAAAACACAATTGTTGCATATGAGACAAAAAAGAGAAAAGATTCAGATTAAATTTGATTTTAATCATGAATCTGATCATGTTGGTGACTCATATTTGTGTATTTAAGATTTAATTTTACTGATTCAAAATATTCTACAATATGGTTCGATAGGAAGATTTATTACAAATATAATGTCAAGACATTTTATAATTTTCCTGTTTTACTTTATTTTAAAAGTAATTTGTCATATTAGTTGTTTTACCGCCAGTGGCCACTAGAGGGAGCTGGTAGCTCGTTGTGGCGGCAGCAAACCGCTGAAGTAGCTGCAGGTTCTGACCGTGATTCTGGCCGGTTCTGGTCCGGATCAAGAAGCAGCTCTCTTACCCGTCACACCCTGAGGCTCAGGTGAATCCTGCAGCCCGTTTCCGTTCCTGATGATTCCGGATCAGTGGGGAACGGTTCCCGGACTTCATTCCTGAGGAGCCAAACCGGTCGGACCGCTACGCCGGTCTCATTTCTGCAGAACTTCAGACACGTGATGACGTCACAAACACGCACTTCGATCTCTGAGCCGCAGGTGGAGGCTGCGTATCTTCACGGTTTAAAGAAATGTTTATTTATGTTTGATGTTGTCTCATTTAAATCAATCAAAGTCCTTCTGAACATTTTCACAGCCCAGAACCTCAATCTGACCTACGGCTTCAACAGTGAAAGATCTGAAAAGTGTGGAGTGTATTTAGCCCCTGTCTCAGAACTCTGCAGAACCGCGTCTGGCTGACGGGTTTCCTCCATCTCCAGTTCAGCCAGTCTGGATGGAGAACATCAAGTCTTCCACAGAATGTCAGTTGGTCAATGTCTGGACTTGGATTAAGCCATCCCATAATACCTCTGGCTGTATGCACTGGGTGGTTTTCCTGCTGGAAAGTAACTCAAGACGGTTGAGGTTAACTCTATCTATCGATAGATCTATCTATAGGCAAACATATAATATGTTTGCCTATAGATAGGTAATAGATAGATCTATCTATCCATCTATAGGCAAACATATGGTAATATGTTTGCCTATAGATAGATAGATCTATCTATTGCCTATCTATGTCATGAAGTGGTTGTTGATGGTGGTGAGGATTGACGCAGAGACCCAGGTTGTAAAGGAAATGATGAATTTAATGATAACGCTCACTCAGTCCGATACAGGCGGCACGGCAGAGAACATAGCACACAGCTAGTTACCGGTAGCTACTGACAAACTGAAGACTGAAACTAGAGCTGGGCAGACCAGGACTTCTCAGTTCCACTGGAGAGCCGACACACAACAACTGACATACGACAACGATCCGACAAGAGACAAAGACAACAGGTGGGACTAAATACACTGGGAGGTAATCAAGGAATGAGACACAGCTGGGATCAATCAACGGGGAAGACCAGAGCCAGAAACTCACAGGGAAACAGGATAACACAGAAAAAACTCAAACAGAAAACTACTGATCACGACAATCTATAGGCAATAGATAGATCTATCTATCTATCTATCTATCTATCTATCTATCTATCTATCTATCTATCTATCTATCTATCTATCTATCTATCTATCTATCTATCTATCTAGATAGATAGATAGATCTATCTGATAATATGTTTGCCTATCAGTTAAAAACTGTTTTTTGACATTTCCAGAGAAACCCTCATCTTTCATTGTTTATCACCATGAAATGAAATAGAAACATCGATGCTATCACTGCTGAAGTCCAGCAGATTTTTCCTGGTAACAGATAAAATCAGTAAATATTCATCAGAACTGTCTGAAAATCAAACAAATGTTTGAGCAAACTGGCTGAAGTCCAACAGAGGAGCAGAATCAGTCGGACTGATTTCAGGCAGCGTGACGCATCAGTCAGTATGAAACCGCTACTGTAAAATAATTCCTGTTTGTGTCACCGTGTTTCCATGGCAACGTGCTTTTATTACTGAAATATAAATATACTGCTGTCATACAACAAACTTTTCAAATCTCAACATTTCTTCGCCCATCATTTACCTGGGACGGTTCTGGAAGGTCGTTAACCACGAAGAGCCGATTAAAGTCGAAAACTAACAGCAATAATTTGGTTTATTTAGTCTAAAAGAAAAAACAGGAGCTTTTATGTCAGTCATTTTTTCAACGACTTATTAATTCATTTATAAATGTCACAGTTTCAAACCAAATATTTCATTAAAAAGCTAAATACTTAGTTTAACTATGTATTAGTTGCCATGGCAACAGGAGGGGCGGAGCTTCAGGAAGCCTCATAAATGTTTCTAAAAAGTTTGATCAAAGTAAGTCACGTCAGAAACAGCAATCTGGGTTTAATTGTTTTTACAGTGAAGTTTTTTCATTAAGTTTGTGTTGAACGTGGAGGAGGAACTGAAGTTCATCTTCTGTCTGCAGAGCCTGGAACCACAGCCAGATTTCTGAGGAACTTCAGTTACAGATAATTTAGCGACTGCTGGCAGAAAAACCTGATGACAGGTTTTCATTTTCACTCTGGTTCTCATTCCATCAGCACATTCCACTACGATCAGAAACATTTCAGCCTCAAACTGTTAATCCTTCGTTGGCTCCACTGATTCAGTTCAAACTGTGCGAATGCGACGCAAACCGACATTTTCACCCCCAAAAATCTGATCTGTGCCATTTCTCTACGGGGAACTAATACGTATCAAACTAAATATTTAGCTTCATAACTAGATATTTAGTTTGCTAAGTAAATATTTAGTCTAAATATTTAAGTTCAATTTAAGTATTTAGTTTGAAGGTAAATATTTAGTTTGCTAACTAAATATTTACCTTCAAACAAAGGGTTAATTGTTTGCGGTTGAAATGTTTTTGATCGTAGTGGAAAACCAGAGTGAAAATGAAAAATTCTCGTCAGGTTTTCCTGCCAGCAGACGGTTAATTATCTGTAACTGGTCTGAGCTGAAGGATGAACGAAGTTCCTCAGAAATCTGGCTCTGATTCCAGGCTCTGCAGGAAGGAGACGACGACTGTTACGGCCTGGGCCTCGGGACCGGGCCGCAGGTGTTGCTTTGTCTGTCTTTGTGCTCCTCCCCGCTGCAGGTGTCTCTGATCCATTGATGTGGAGCGCAGAGAACTTGAACCCGGCTGTCTCCGTCTTCTGTGTCGCCTTCAGCCTCCACTTGACGCTTGTGGTGTTTTGCTGCCAGGCCTCAGCTCCCCTCCTTTTTGTGTTTGTCTTTGTTTTTGCACTTCAACACTTCCATATGCACTCATACAACACATCCAAGCATCTGCATTACACCACTGATACTGATATCCACAATCCATTGTTGTTTGTGGTAATAAATATAAATTTGTTTGCACCTTAACCCTGCATGGTTTCCCGTTTTGTTCTGACCTTGAGCCAGTCGTAACAACGACGTCTTTCAGGCAACAGAGAGACTCAACTGTTCAGATTAATGAATTACAGAGAGAATCAGTCTCAAAAGATGAAAACATGGAAACATTTCACATAAAATAAGAACTGAAATCCCATTAGAGGTTCATCAGATCCATGTTCAACACAATAAAATAACTTCACTGTAAAGACGATAAAACCCTGTTATCCTGTTTCTGACATCAGTTCGTTTGATCAAACTTTTTAAAAAGATTTTATGAGGTGTCCTGAAGCCCCGCCCCTCCCGTTGCCATGGCGACGAGGTCATCATGCTGAGGATATGAGTCGGCAGTGACAGATGAACCAGCAGCAGAAGCTCTGGGGTTTTGGTGTCAGTGTTTGTTCTGCAGCTCAGGGATGATGAAGAAGGTAAGACTGTCTCACCTGGACCAATTATTTATGCCATCAATCCATATTTAACACGTCGGATCTGACTTTAAACTACAACAATGAAAAGATTGCAGAAAATATTTGGAAAGATTTGTGGTTTCTAAGCAAACAATCAGAGTTCAGTGAGCAAAAAAAGACATTTGTTGATAAAACTCCTGTTATTCTTTGGGTGAAGGATGTTTTCTTTCTTTCTGTGGGATTATAAAATCAGAACAGATTACATAAACTCAAAATGGATCTGGGTGTTTTGGGTGCAATTAAGGCACTGGTAAGATAAGCTTTTAACAAATAAAATGATTTCAGAAGGGCCTTTTTTTGTTCAGAGTAAAAAGAAAAGGTGCTTCAGCAACGAGTCGTGTATCTGTGCACATCTCTAAATGTCAGCAATCTCTCTAGATGTTTTTTCTTTGCTTCGTGCCAATAATTGTGAATAGATTAAATTTTTTTCACATCATCCTACCTGGTTGTAAAGAAGCTAACTCGATGTCCAAGATGGCTGTTTCTCATAAAAAGCTAAAGCCTGAAGCTCCATGCAGTAATTATCTGAGGTCTGTTTGCTTTGTATCAGATACATGATCAGCCTTATTGCTCCACTGCTGTGTGTTTGCAACGGTTACGTCTGAACTCGCATAAAAAAAGCAGGCAAGCAACTCGTTATGTGAGTCGGGCACAGAAGGATGGGATTCACTTTTGCTTTGATTTGATGACTGATGTTCTCATGAATAACTGACAGCTGTTTTATAACAGGAATGCTTAGTCATTGCAACGAAGTGTTACTGAGAAAGTCAATGATGTTGCAAATACAGTTCATATTTTAAGGCTGAAACATTTAAGTTAGAACATTAATCAAAGTTAAAACAAAGAGAAGATAGATATGCAATAATTGTAAGCAGTTATTAAAGGATCCAAGACTGTGTAAAAAAGCTTGCCAAAAATATTTAGCTGTAACAAATTTTAACATGCTGTTTTCTTCAGCAGTGGAGTCTTGTGCAGTGAGTGTAAGTAGGAGCCGTTACATCCAATTGTGTTGATTATTGTTTTCATGGGAAAAACTGCAGCGTTTCTGAAGCTCTTCCCATCAGATGTTCTACAATTTTGATCGTTCTTTTGACTTCTCTGGCAGAACTTTTGTTGAAATTACTTTTATTTATTCATGTATTTATTTCTAACATGATAGCAGTATAAAATAACAGATACCAATTACACTATGATACTGGTACTAATTTCAGGAACCTAATTTTGTAAAATTAGGTTCTTTAGACAGAATAAAACTCCAACAGCACTTACTGGAACATTTAAAAGTTTAGAAATACAGCTATAATCATTGCCATTAGTATGATTTGCAACAGTATCCCATTTTAACCCTCGTTCACAGGCAAAGCAGAGTGCTGTCCCAGCGTCTGAGGAGCTGATTCTGCGAGCGCTCAAAGATCTTGGAGATACTGAGCTGAAAGAGTTTAAATGGTATCTGCAAAAGTCGGAGGTTTTGGGAGACTTCCCAATCATCCCAAAGAGTCGAATAGATAAAGCAGACCGGACTGACACAGTGGATCAGATGATACAGACCTACTGTGAAAGTACTCTGGAGGTGACCAAAAAGGTTTTAAGGAAGCTTGAGCGTAACGACCTTGTTCAGGTTCTGGCCGGCCAAAATGGGGAACCAATGTCAGGTATGTGGATTAACCACTTCTGGTCATGAAAGATCCATCACAGGACATTCAAAAATGTAAATACTGGATGTGGTTTAGGACTTACACAGATGCTGAAGTTTATTTTAGTAGCCTTCTCGTTTAACAAAACATAATCTCTTTGATTTTGTCCATCATTGTTTCCTTCAGAGGGTTTTGCTGACTGCCAGCAAAATCTCAAGTCCAGGCTTTTGAAAAAGCTGCAAGGTTCAGTGGAAAAATCCAAAAAGGGCGGAAAATCAAAAGCTCAAGAGGAAATCTTTATAGAAATGAACTTGACAATAAAAGAAACCGAAGAATTCAGCACAGAACATGAGATCAGGCAGATTGAATCCACATCCAGGAAAACAGCCAAACCAGAAAAAACCATCAGATATGATGATATATTTAAAAGCCACTCTAGAACAGGTAAACCAATCAAAATGGTGATGACAACTGGAATGGCCGGCATTGGGAAAACAGTCCTGACGCAGAAATTTACACAAAACTGGGCTGAAGACAAAGCCAACCAAGACTTCCACTTCACATTTCCACTCAGCTTCAGAGAGCTGAATGCTGTGAAAGACAAAAAGTTCAAGTTGGTTGAGCTTATTCAACAGTTCTTTCCTGAAACCAGAGAGGTCGATATCTCCAACTCTAAGGAGTTCCGGGTCATTGTCATCCTTGATGGTCTGGATGAGAGTCGACTTCCACTGGACTTCATTAATAACAAGAAAGTCACTGACCCTAAAGAGTCTGCTCCAGTGGACGTGCTGCTGACAAGCATCATCCAAGGAACTCTGCTTCCCTCTGCAAACATCTGGATAACCACACGTCCTTCCGCTGCCAGCCAGATCCCTGCCAAACATGTAGACCTGGTGACTGAAGTTGCAGGGTTCAATCATGCTGAGAAACTGCAGTACTTCAGGAAGAAATACAAAGATGACAAACTGGTCAGCAAAATCATGCCTTACATCAACGCATCCCAAAGCCTGAAGACCTTGTGCAACATGCCAGTTTGCTGTTGGATCACTGCCACAGTCCTAGAAGACCTGCTGAAGAACAGAGAAGAAGAAGAACTCCCGAAGACTCTGGCTGAGCTCTACATCAGATTCTTGCTGGTCCAGTTCAGACAGAAGGCCGTAACAGAGGCAGAGACACAGTGGAATCCGTCATGCAAGGAAAAGATTCTAGCTTTAGGAAAACTGGCTTTTGAGCAGTTGGAAAAAGGCAACCTTGTATTCGACCAATCAGACCTTAGAGCATCTGGTATCAATATTAAATCGGTGTCAGTTTTCACTGGAATGTTTCCTGAGATCTTCAAGGAAGAAGGCGAGCAGGACCAGGCCACGGTGTTCTGCTTCACCCATCTGAGCGTTCAGGAGTTCCTCGCTGCTCTGTACGTTCATCTCACTTTCATGACCTCACAGGTCAATGTGCTCGAAGAAGTCCAGTCAAGTTGGATTGTTATGCTAGCGAGACGCAAATCCAATCCCTACAACACTGCTGTTGACAAAGCCTTGCAAAGTCCAAAAGGAGACCTGGACATGTTTCTGCGCTTCCTCCTGGGTCTTTTGGTGCCGTCCAGCCAGAGTCTGTTAAAAGGTCTGGTCAAAGAAACTGAAAACAACACCCAGGTCATCCAGGAGGCAATCAAGTACATCAAGGACAAGCTTGATGCTGAGCTGCCTACAGAACAGAGCATCAATCTGCTTTACTGTCTGAATGAACTTAATGACAATTCTCTGGTGGAGGAGATCCAAAAGTTCATGAGTTCAGGACGTCTTACTGTGGATAAGTTGTCCTCTGCCCAGTGGTCTGCCTTGGTCTTCATCTTACTGGCCGAAAAAGAAATGGACATGTTTGACCTGAAAACGTACTCGTCTTCAGAGGAGGCTTTTATGCGATTGCTTCCAGTGGTCAGAATTGCAAAGAGGGTTTGGTACGAGACAAATCTCTATATTTTCTTTAACCAACTGTTTAAAATAACATTTAATACTTAAGAACCATATTTCTGTCTTCCTTCCTTTTCAGTCTGAGTGCATGTGACCTGTCACAGAAAGGTATCGAAGTTCTGTCTTCGGTTCTCAGCTCCCAGGACTCCATCCTGAAAGAGCTCGACCTGAGCTACAACAACCTGGGAGATGCAGGAGTCGGCCAACTGGCTGTTGGACTGGAGAGCACAAACTGTTCACTTGAAACTCTCAGGTTAGGATAAAGCTGTCTTCCTGAACTGGTTATTTCATGAATAAAGTCTTTGTTTCGACAGCAATAACTGCATGCCAACGTAGCAACAGTCACAGTAAGGGGTCCAGGGTTCTCCTCTACAGCCCTTTCTCCATTGACGTGGCTTTAACCAGTTCTTTCCCTCTCCACCATGGCCAGATTCGTCTCCATTTGCAGATACATCATGGCTCCTCCCTGTTTGTTGGAGTCATCCAGTGGGACCTAGCAGGGCATAGCATGCAAGCAATCTGACTGGCAGCAATGGTAGATTGACCTGTGGAATCTGTGATAAGACCATCTGTAGGGGTTACGCAGCATGCAGTGTCCAGTCACCTGGTTATCTGCTGGCTGAGACACTGATGTAGCAGTTTGTCTCTGAGGAAAATCTTCCAAATGTACTAGGAGCTGTTCAGCCTAGTACCATTCTGTTTCAAATGATTTCTTACATTGCCTCTAACAATACCTTCCTTAGAGGTACTGTTGCTTTCTCATGATATATGTGAATGGTTCTCTTATTCAGGCTGAGCGGCTGCAAGTTGACATGGAGAGGTTGTGACACTCTGGCTGCAATCATCAGCTCCCAGTGTAGCCTGAGGGAGCTGGATGTGAGCAACAACGATCTGATGGATTCAGGATTGCAGAGTTTGTCTGGGGGTCTGGAGAATCCTCAGTGCAAACTGGAAACTCTCAGGTCGGCCTCAGAAGCCTGATCTACGGCCAGTTAAATGTCACTTTTACACTTGAATATATTTAAAATGAACACAGAGCATGTTGTGTTTTTAGGATCTCTGGCTGCCAGGTCACAGAGGAAGGCTGCCATTATCTGGTCACTGCGCTGAACGTAAATCCGTCACATTTGAGAGAGCTGGACCTGAGCTACAACAATCCTGGACACACAGGAGTCAGTCTGCTGTCCAGCGGCGTGAAGCATAAAATGTGCAGACTAGAAACTCTCAAGTATGAAACTGGGAATAACTGTTTGACATTATTTTAAAGTCTTTGCTTTATGAATTTAAGCCATTAAACTGATGTGTGTTGATTCCTGCAGAGTGGAAAACTGTGGAGAACAGAGGATGAAGTCGGGCTTAAAGAAGTGTAAGATGAATTTGGCCTGTTGGAAGAAACTCTTTGCTGCTTTGAGGGTCTTTCATGAACCACAAAATAAATATTGTACATGGTTTACATGAACTTAAGAAGCAATAATGATGATGAATAATGTTTGGCTGCTTGTTTTTTAGATGCTTGTGTGATTGAATTTGACCCGAACACGGCTCACAGGAACCTGCAGCTGTCAGATGACAACAGGAAGGTGACTGTGGTGAGGGAGGAGCAGCCGTACCCTGATCACCCAGAGCGCTTCGACTACTGCTGCTGGCAGGTGCTCTGCAGAAACCCGCTGACTGGCCGCAGCTACTGGGAGGTGAAGAGGGAGGGACCCGTGGTCATCGCCGTGAGCTACAAGCGAATCAGCAGGAAGGGGCCCACGGCCGACTGCAGGCTGGGCTGGAACGACCAGTGCTGGAGCCTGGTCTGCACCGAAAGGCAGTACTCCTTCTGGCACAACAAGAAGGAAACGGTTTACACCATGCCGTACGCGTCCCTCATGTCCTGCAGAGTAGGAGTTTATGTAGACGTCCCTGCCGGCATCATGTCGTTCTACGCCGTCGCCTCTGATGAATTCTACCACCTCCACACCTTCCAGACCAGCTTCACAGCGCCGGTGTTCCCGGCCTTCGGGTTTGGGTTCGGGTACTGGTCCTACGACTCCTCCGTGTCTCTGTTCGAGGTGTAGCTGACTGAAATAAGACGTTTGCTGCCAGAGCCGAAGGTCTTTTTGTTTTCTTTGATTTATGATTTACCAAAACAAACAAAAGAACAACTCTGGTGTTATGTGGAGTTTTCTTACTAAAGAAGTTAAATTTGTTCAGGTGAGGGGTTGTTAAAATAAAACGTTCTCTTTAATCGTTTTTAAAACCTTGTTTGAAGTTAATATTTGTCAATCGGCTCAAATAACTTTCAAACCTTTTCAGTTTATCTCACTAATAAAACAAAGCTCAGCAGAAAAACTGTGATGTTGGTGATTTTATGGATTCAGACAGGATTTGTTTATTTCAATAAACTTTATGAATTTTGTGCTTTATGTCTGAATTTGTGTGATTTAGTTGTTTGTCCAGGTTTTTATGCTCTACTGGTTGTATGGATTTATTATGTTCCTAAATCGAAAATGACTGGAAGGGTTTTGGACGTGTTGGAGTTCCTGACCAGAACCAGACCAGAACCAGACCAAAACCCCTGAGTGTAAATTACCTTGAGAAATAATGCCGAAAAATGATTAAATGTTAGAAGCCATGCATGTCATAGAAATGGATCAGAACCAGAGTTACATTCACCGTCCAGCGCCGGTCCACTGGTCTCCTGATGGACGGAACCAGGAGAGAGAAGGACTGGAGAGTTCAGCTTTTATTCTCCTCTGCTGCCTGTTGGCTCCCTAAAGGGAAATTAATCAGGTTCAGTTAATCAGGTTCAGTTAATCAGGTTCAGTCCAATCAGGTTCAGTCCAATCAGGTTCAGTTAATCAGGTTCAGTCCAATCAGGTCCAGTCCAATCAGGTTCAGTTAATCAGGTTCAGTCTGTTTACATGTGACTGCCGGCAGTCGTACATAAACATGGTTATGTCAGCTGCAGTGTGTGTGTAAGCAGAAGGAGAGACAGAGGAACAGGCAGAATCCATAACAGACATCTGATCCTGTAAATCTTGTTGGTTTAAGGTGAATAAAATTAAAAGTGGTGATGCTGATATGTTGTGTGTCTGTTCTGGAGATGTTAGTTTATCCGAGTTTCAGCTGAATTACACTGTAAACGGGCACAAAGCACCGTAAATAATGACAATGTTAAATATTTCAAGCTGACTTTTGCTCAGACATGAATTTAAAACATATGAAGATACATACTGGCAATAGCACAATATTTACTACTTATGAACTGTAGCTACAACAGTCTACAAACAGAAATCCAAGCAGACGCCCTGCCCTCATGCTAACTAGCCTAGCATGCCACTGAACACTGTTGCTCATATTTTTCATAGGGACAGAAAAATGGAGCTGCTGACTTCAACTTGTGCTAAGTTTGTTAAAAGGTACAGACACAAGCTAAATATATGAAAATCTCTCTAAATATGTCACTTCACTTATTAAATGCTGGTGAAATGCAGGCTAACATTAGTCTGTAGCTAAGCTAGCTAAGCTAACAGGTTCATAATCACACATTTAGTATATCTACCTCTCTTGAAGTATTGAGTTACAAATTAACACCTTCTTTTGTCCTTCTTCTCTTTCTTTCTTTTTTGAAAACCTGATTTCATTACTACTGTCCTTCTTGTCTTCTACTGTCTGTCGCTAAATTACAGATTATTGGTAAATATAGATGTTGGTTTTTAGGTTTGGAAATGGTAACCTTTAATTTTTACTGCCAGAAACAAGTAAAAACAAAGATATATTTAATTTTAGTCCTGAGATGAGCTGCACAAAATGGGCATCGTTCTGTACTTCTGACACTGGCAGGCAGGTCCAGCATTACAGATGCACTTTATGACTGAATGCAAGATGAGTGGATTCACTTAATTCAGCTTCCTGCTAACAATCGAACTGATGGTGGGAGATTTTGCAGCTTACAACAAGCCTGATTAGCAGTAAGCAGATTACAAGTGCAGCAGGGGAAGTTAACCCAGCCTTCCAGAAACGCAGCGTTTGCTTCATGGCTCAAACTGCGGCAGATCGAACTTTTCCAGGGGATAACGGCCGTCTGGTGTGAACGCAGAGCAGGAGCACAGCGATTAAAAACGGCTCCTCCTGGGGAAGAGACCCGCTTCAGGTCAGATTTAAACGTTTCTGTTTCCTGTTGCTGTTTTTCAGACTGGAAATGATGCAGGCACTCCTGTATTTCACATTAGTTAGAATGTTTCACTGTTTGTGTCTCTCATTTTGTAAATGAAATGATCAGAGACCCGTCCTAACCAGACGGGTCTCTGATTAGGACAGAAACCCGACGGCGTTGTAATGAAAATGTTCCAGAAGTGAAACTTTGACCTTGTTCTTTGTCTGCAGTTCCAATGTGCTTGCTGTCTTTGGAGTTGTGGAGAACCTAAAATACTTCATTAAGCTCCTTATGACACCCTGCTGGCAGCTTCAGCTGCTCCTCTTCCTCCTCCATCTTGGAGCATTCACTCAGACAAAGGCTACACCGACTGGACCTCTGACAGCTGGACCCTTGTGGACCAGACGCACCGGCCGGGTGCTGATCGGTTAATCTCACAGCAGATCTGTGGGATGAAGTCATATTCGCTGTGCTGAAGAGTCGAGTGTTTCCGTCCAAATCCAAGAGAAAGCAAGTTGCTCTCTATCCTGGAACGATTTACTGTTTGAATTGTATGTAGGTGAAACATAATCATCTGTATTTTACTGCTGCCTTCACCTTCACAAAGCACTGCTGACCTACTTTTTAGAAATATTGTTTGTGATGTACGAAACGTTTTCAGCCTTAAAGTGTTTTGAGCTGAAAGCCTTATTCTGTTGGAATGAGAAATTTGGAGAAAGTCTAAGATAATTAACAGATCAGAACCCAGTGGTGGGTTCATTCATTTGCTAATTGCAGAGCTAATTTTAGCACTTTAGCATGTTAGCGTTGGCTAACTTTGAAAACATTTAGCACACTTAGCTTCCCCTAATTTAAATTCCAACATGCTAGGTAACTTGGGTGTTTAGTAAACTTTCAGTTAAATAAAGCTCAACATCGGTGTTTAAGGTTTATTATCAACTCTGAATAATAAGATAGTTAGCCATTTAAATTCATGCTCTTATTTTGAAGCGCATTAAGGCTATTTAGTTCCATTTCCTCTTTTTTCCCAATAATTTTATTTCAAACAAGAAATAATAGACTGTTGAGAACAAGAAATAAACATAAATACAATATATAACAGCATTATTGAACATGTACATTTATAATGTCAAAATTAAATTGGTGCTCGAGAGTTTCACTCTTTCAGGGGCAGATATAATTTGAATTGAAGTTAGCACTTTAGCATTAGCGGAACTAAGGGTTAGCGCTATTAACTGTTTAGCTAGCATTGCCCACCACTGGCAAAAGATATTTAGGAACTTTGTTCAAGAAGCAGTTGTCATGTTTGAGACCCTGGAGATGTTCATGGTCAAACACCAGCTGGTTGTTTTGGTTCTGCAGCCTTGAGGCTCTCTTGGAGCTGACCATGTTCGGTTCCTCCTGGACGTAAGTCCCTCTGAAGCAGAGGGCCGACATGGCAGTCGGAAAGATCACCTTCACCAAGACTGAAAGGGAGAAGCTAGCTGAAGTCCTCTGGCTGCTCAACTGGATCTCTGTGGTGACTGGAGCCATTCTGTTTGGACTGGGCTTGTTTCTCAAAATAGAGATACAGAAATGGCAGGAAGTGATGTCAGAGCAGGGGATTCTCTACGTGCCACACATGCTCATCACCACAGGACTAGCAGCCTGCGGCATCAACTACGTCGGCAGTAAGATCTGCCTGGACTGCGCTGACACTAACAAGTTCCTGCGCTGGAAGCTGGTGATGATGCCCTACATAGTTTGCACCTTCTTCTTCACTGCCTGCGTCCTGGCGGGGGCGCTCATGTGCTACAGTATTCGGAGTCAGCTGGAGGAGGCCCTGTACCTGGGCCTGAGGAACACAATGCGTTTTTACAAAGACACGGACACACCTGGCCGCTGCTACCTGAAGAAAACCCTGGACCTGCTGCAGATCCAGTTCCAGTGCTGCGGGAACACCGACTACCGGGACTGGTTCCAGATTCAGTGGATCAGCAGTCGCTACCTTGACATGACCAACAGCGCTGTGGTGGAGTAAGTTTAATCAGAGCTACTGAAAGACTTTTAAAGTTCTGTAATTTCCCGTTTTAACTCAGTGTGGCAGTGTAGAGCAGGGTATCCTTCAAGCTTTGGTTCTCTCCCTGGTTCAACACACCTGAACCAATCGGTCGCTAGCAGGTCTGCAGAACATTGACATGCAGAGAAGATAGTAACTACCAGGGTGGTGAACCAGAGAGAACTAAAACATGGAGGATTCCAGCCGTTAAGACTCCAGGCATCCCTGGTGAGGGATTCTTAAAGATCTCTGAAGAAATCTTATTGCAGAGTAAGAAGTGGTGCCAAGTCTTGCTTAAAGAGTTACAATCCATTGTCCTGGCATCTCCAAGACATCTAAAAGCCCCAAAAATCTCTTGTGTCCAACTTGACAGACATGGTCTATTGTGTCTGATGATGGAGATATGAACCACTCCTGAAAGAGCAAGGATGGGGAGCTCCGTCAGACTCTGGGTTCTTGGATTGGAGGTGTTGCTCAGTTGAGGTAGTTCAGGTCATGATGCGTCCTGAAGATCTCCCTGTGGAGGTTTTCCAGGAAAGTCCCACCAGAAATGAACTCCTGGGATCACTGGGTTGTTCCTGGCATTTTCAAGGCACTCACAATGCCTTGTGTCTAAGTTGGTTGACAAACTGTGGTGCTTAGTGGTGCTTGGAGTGGTTCAGCTCCTTCAAAGGCTCTCTCATACTTCATCCAAAGTGTCAAAATCGGCTCTCATTGACACAGTTGGGTGACAAAAATTGGCCCAGGAATCCCTTAGACTGAGCTGGAAGACCAGCCTTATGTAAAGCGTTGTGTGATTGGACATTGTTTGTGGATCAGTATCCTGATTCTCAAGTGATGGTAAGAGAGAGCAGGAGATGGATATGAGAGACGAGGCCTTGTTTGCAGAGCAAGTCATTCAAGGTGACGAAAAAATAAAAACACAACGTGATTCTCTTGATTTGCCGTTTCGTCTATGGTCGTCAGATAAGAATGATGACTGAAAAACAAGATCATAAACACACCAAAGGTCAGATGAATTCAAGTCTCAAGGTAGAATAAAGACGGAGGAACCTCTGAGTTCAGCTTTGAACATGTGAATATGGTAGCATGTATGATGAGCAGGTAGTGGGTATGTCCCAATGGTGGGAGACCCAGAACGATTTGCAGGGATTATAAACGCGTCCTAGGAATGCCTGGGAATGCCTGGGAATGCCTGGGAATCCCTGGGAATGCCTGGGAATCCCTGGGAATGCCTGGGAATCCCTGGGAATGCCTGGGAATCCCTGGGAATGCCTGGGAGTTCCTCAGCATGACCTGGAGAATGTTTCTGAAAAGATGTCTGGGTTTTCCTCCTGCACCTGCTACTCCATGTGACCAAATGTTGAAAAAGACAATGGATGGATGGAGGTGGACAGCAGTAAATTACCAGTAAAACGCTGTTAGGTATTCACTGGGTTATGTCTAGAGATGTTACACATAACACTCATGCTATTGTTTCCTCTACTGTTGCCTTCAGTAATGATTTATGACATTCTCTTTCAATAACACTAAATGTGAGAAGTCACATACTAAAAAAGCTTGTCTTTGAGAATTGGTGCTTAAAAATAAATCGGTTTAAATGAGTCTGAGTCGATTCTACGTTTCAGGATTTTCCGTGACAGACATGCATTTCTCCACAGGAGAGTTTTATCCATGATGGAGACGTTTGCTGAACTGTTGTGGAAATTTGTCTGCAGAGAAAGTTTTAGCGAGGATGTTTTAAAGACGGAGAACAGCCGATTCTCAGATTGAGGTCACCGGTCCACTGCAGATAAGATACTGAGGTCAAAGGATTAATCAGGAGGGTTCATCTCAGGTTCAGATCTCAGAATAATCCGTCTGTACTGCAGTCAAATGATCAGGTACCGTCTGGACTTATGCAAACACACGGTGAGAGGTCTTGATCTTACCTCTGCAAGACCTTGTCCAGGCTTTCTGAAGGTCTCTCAGTAATTCTTCTTGACGGTTGACATTTTTGGTCAACCGTCTCATGACTCAGTTGTTCTTCGCTCATATTTTCAGCAGGGTTCCCTTACAGCAGGCACCTGTCCTCCAGCCTGTCTCCAGGCGATTGTGTCCCCCGAAACTGATCCCATCTCCTGCCTGGCTCCGCACCTTACTCTCTTGCCTGGTATTTTTCAGCCTTTCTCTTAGCATGCCTTCATTCTTCGAATGGGCTTCATGATATTATGAAAACCCCTCTAGCAATCAAATTTGATTCCTCCTTCCAGCTTCTCACCTTCGAGACTTCTGCACTTGTTTGGCGACTACCAGTACTGTGATGTTTCTCTCCGCACCATCAAGCCAGCTCACAAGTTTAGATCCCCCTTTTTCTTTTTTTGACTAAAAAAGTCAGGCGTCTTAAAACTGTTGATTCTTTCAAATTGTTTAGTTGCTTTTTAAGGCAATGGCTTTTTGAATCCAAAGTTTGTGGCTCTGTATCATTCGGAGATGGTTTTGAGATGAAGTCTTTATATGGTAGATCTTAGTTTTCTGTCCATCAGTCAAATTATTTTTATAAACAAACTGGATTCACCAGAGTGGAAGCCACGTGTTTGTGGAGTGTAGGGATCTCAACCACCGGTGAAAAGCTAAAAATGTGAGATTTGATGGTTCAAACACCAACACTAGCCGGGTCGTTGACTTCCTACACAGTTCCAGTCTGGGATTTCTCTCTTTGAGCTCAATCAGCAAACAGAAGACGGAGTTGTGAACGATTATGTAGGGAACTATAGTCTATGCAGTGGCAGCACAGAAAGTGAACAAAGTCACTCAGTCCATGTTCATCACGCTACCAGATGCTGACCAATTAAAATCAGACTGAGAGGAAAACTTCAGCGCTTTCAAGATGTCGTTCAGTTCGGCATTTCTCTCTTCACAGTGGGGATAGTTGTTCACGCAAACGCAATTTCAGATCTAGCTTCATGGCGTAGATAGCTGAAGTCACAGCCAAACATTAGCGGTTGAGTATAATCAGATCGAATCGTTTCAAACTTCAGCAGAGTCAACGCCTCCAACAAGCCATTGTCTCTCTACAGTCGAAGGTCCAGTAAAGCTTAGAGCAATGGGCTGGTTTCTGTCAGCTGCTAACTGGTTAGTTATCCCCTGGTTCTGGTTTTAAGTTGTTTCCTTTAGTTAGAAACAACAGATAAACAGTGAAAATGTTTATTCTGCTCCAGACGGCAGATTCAGAAGATGACGGTCAAAACGACTGAATGGAGTGATGCTACTGTGAACTGGAGGAGAAATGCTTCTGTGTTTTCTGCAGCCGTGTGCGCAGTAACGTGGAGGGGAAGTACCTGATGGACAGCGTTCCCTTCAGCTGCTGCAGCACCCTGTCGTCCCGCCCCTGCATCCAGCACAACCTGAGCAACCCCGGAGCGCATGCGCACTACGACGAGCAGAGCCAGCAGCTGAACCTGTGGAGGCGAGGCTGCCAGCAGGCCCTGCTGGACCACTACACCGGCACCATGCAGTCCATCGGCCTCACCGTGCTGCTCATCTGGCTCTTCGAGGTAACCTGCGCTGCGCCCTAAACCCAACAGCAGAGACTTTTTCACTCTAAAGCGTCGCTGCTTTTCTCTACCAGCTGCTGGTTCTGACTGGAGTTCGGTACCTGCAGACGGCCATGGAGAACGTCATCCGGCTCGGGGATCCGGACTCGGAGTCAGAGGGCTGGATCCTGGAGAACAGCCTGGCGGAAACAGCCTGCTACAACTTCAGCATCATCAAGACCCTGGGGAAGTGCTACCAGGTGGACGACGACCCGAACATCAACGTCCCGACGGCGGCGGCTGACCAGGAGGCTCCGTCCGCCCAGGTCCAGGTCAACGTGACCTCCTGACCCCAGACCCGCTCTGATCTGGAGAACTCCATCGATACGTTCTGCCTTCAGAAAAAAAACTGCAGCAAAACACAAATATTTGACTTTTATAAAGATTTGAGGTTTTTGTACTCTTGAACAAGAAAGACGTGAAAATGTTCAGAAACCAAATACAGACGGTGCTAAAGCAGAAACAAATATCCGAGGCTTGAATCCAAAATCCTTCCTGCCGGGATTTTAAATGATCTGTCCTGGTTGAGCCTCTGGGGAAGTGCTACCAGGTGGACCAGAGACGGACAGACGACGAGGAACCGTTAGTAAAGTTACACAGTGAAAAGGTAACAGCAATAATCTGGGTTATTTACAAAGAGTGTTCATTTTTCACCATGTTATTCATTTATTTATAAGTGCCACAGTTTCAAACTGAATATTTAGCTATTTAATTAACCAACTAATGGTTTAGCTGAGGTAGCTAAGTACTTAGCTCATTAATGACATGTTTACTTAGACATAAATATTTAGCTGGTTAACAAAAAGTGTTTGATGACTCAATATTTATCTGGTTCAAAGATAAACATTTAGCTAACCAACTAAATATTTACCCTTGAACTACATAAATACATAATTAGTAAGCTAAATATTTAGCTTGCTGATGAAATATTTAGTCTAAAAAATTAATTTTATATTAACGAATAAAATGGTGAAAATATGAGTTTGAAATATGAATTCCCATTTTGTCTCCACTGCTAGATAAGCTAAACATTTTGATTGTGTAAACTTACAACAGAAGCCAAACATTTTCAGTTTGACGTCATCCAATAAAAACGGGTCAATTACACTTTGCTACCAGAGGGGGCGCTGAGTGCTTGTTGGTCTCCAGTTACCACAAAGAAACAAACTTCAGAAAATCTTTACATAACATTTGGTTGTCATGTCCACTGAGGTCCTCAAAAAATCTTTTTTTATTTACCACTAAATTAATATTTATATTTATAATTTATCTACATTGAGAGCAAAATGAAACCAAAGTCAAATTCCAGTTTTGTGGACAGACTGGCCAATAAAATGGATTCTCTGAAGGATTTTAGGTTGAAATGTTGCTGCTGCTTTTTTCCTCCATGCTTCTTTCTTCGTTTCCTCTGTTTTTAAGTCATTTCTGCTGTTAGCTGGATCTGCTAAAACGTCACATTAAATCATTTCCATGAGTCCAAACAGAACCGGGAGTCGCTGCAGGTCCTTCAGATCACTCTGCTCCTTGTGCTTCATTCCTCAATAAAGATCACGTCTTTCCTTCTGTTTCTTTATTATTTTAAAATGATGTTTTAAATTTAACTGATGATGTATTTCACCCGTGGTTTAAAGAAAATAACTGATTCCTACATGAAAACAAGAAAAACTGACGTAAAAACAATGTTAGCAGTCATTCTGCTGTGGAAACTCAATGAAATTATTTTTATTTCTGTTTTTCCTGCTGTGTGAGTTTCACAGAAGAAGGAGGAAAAACTCATTTTGAAGCCTGATAACAGATGATAATTATTCATAACTCAGACACATGAAGGCTGCAGCAGGAACCGACTGAAAAGCTCTGAAGCTTCAGAAAAAGGTAGTCTAGCGCCCCGCTGTGGAGGAAGAGGAAACTGCATCGTCTCACCTGAACAAAGCAGAAACAAAAACGAGTTTAAAAAGAAGAAAACCGTTCCAGTGCATTAAAGTAATTAATTTAAATGTTTTCTTCCTCAGTTTTCTTATTAGTTGCCAGTCAAATTCATCAAAATGTTTTGTTTCTCAAACTGACGTAGAAAACATGAAATGGAAACAATGTGGAGCCAAAAACCTACGAGCTGGTGACATTTAAATACATTTTAAATAAATTTAATGTATGAACAAGAAACAATATTACATAATTCATAATCCAAAGTGAGAATTGTGGTGGGGAAATATATTGTCAGGTAATATAACATAAAAATCCGATAATTAAATTTTCCACCACAGAACTCCTGGCCAACTAAAATCAGGTTTGTGGCCACATTTATGCTAAACTAACGCAATAATTATTGAATAGTGAAAAAAACAAGTTTGTGTTTCATTTCATGAAGCAAAGTCTGGGTTTGAAACGGAGAAGCAAATACTATTTGGGGGCCAAATGGAAAAGTTGCTGGGGTTGCTAGGTAACGACCTGGGATTTGCTGGGGTTGCTAGGTAACGACCTGGGATTTGCTGGGGTTGCTAGGTAACGACCTGGGATTTGCTGGGGTTGCTAGGTGAGTGATTCTATAATTGCAGATACATTTGATGTCCAGAGTCATTATTTTTGGTCTGGTATATTAAAATATTTCAATTTTTAAATGTTTTAGTAATTTATTACTCATTTTAATGGATCATAATATTGAACAAGTAAAAACATTGAAGTAAATACATTTAAAATTGTTTTATATAGCTGAAAAACCAAGACTTCTTGTCGTCCGAATTGGGTACTGTCTTTTTTATTAACCTGAAAAATGATGCAAAAACCTGTTTTATTATTTTTCTTTGGTGAATTTGTTTTTGCTACCTTTTTTTAAACTGCCTAAATGGTCAGTTTAATAACAACATCACATTAACTCAAAATACCCTTATTTTCTTTTAAAAATGTGTGAGATTTTTTTGTCAACTCTGTTACCATATGGTTTTGTCCCTGTAAATCTGTGAAATTGCCTTCTACGGCTATATAAACTGCATAAAGTTAAGTCATTTACTTTTCCTGTAAGACCTCAAACACACACAGGTCTATGTGCCATTCTCTGGGAAATATGTTAGTCTAAAAATCACAATCACCAGGTGTTACTGTTTTCAACATCAATCTTGTTACCAAAGTATCATGAGAAAAATACCACAGATCTTTGATCAGAGACAAGTTTATTTAATGGTTTTTAAACCATTTTCTCAGTGGTGTCATGTTTTTTCAGAATTTCTACTCACAAGTGGAGTTTTTAATAAAAATGTTTGAAATTGTCAATTCTGTTACTATCAACTCTGTTATCAAATAATGTGACAGAGTTGATGGTAACAGAGTTTTCAGTTCTGAATTATTCTGGTCCTGTCAATTCTGTCACAAACACCAACTCTGTTAGGTAACAGAGTTGACTTGTTTATGACATACTTTCACAAGAAAAAGGAAAACTGTTGTCCAGAGCACCAAATACATTGTTGGTTGACTTCTGCTGTGATTTAGTATTACTGACCAATTTTATTTCTAAAACAATGATGGTTTTCAATGAGTTTTAATGAAAAACGTTTGCCCCTGTGCGAATAACTCTGTGAAAAGTTGAGTATGTTTTGATTTTTTAAAATGTATTTTTAAGTAAAACATCTCAATTTAAAGTATTGGGGTAGTAGGACACTTGGTGTAATGGAATAAAAATATTTTAGTCTGCTAGAACTTATTGTTTTTTTCACTCACTGTCTATATTGTCCGTAACAGAGTTGACATAACATACAGCAAAACATACGTTTTATCTGAGAAAAAATGATAAAATATGTAGCTAATGTTTGGCTATTACAGATTTTTTTAAAGTTTAATGCCTTTTCAATAGACTACCTGAGAAACTTTTTAAGAAATGAAAAGTTTTTTTTGTCATTTCTTGAAGTGCCAAATGTAGAATCACTCAGGTAACTCAGTGGTGTTACATTCTTGAGGTTTTTTGAAAAGCTCGTTTTCCAAGCATGGAAAAACATTTATTATCAAAAACCAGCTGGATGTTTTGTTTTTAGAAACCCAAATGAGAAAAAAAAAACATATGAAAAATGTAATTTTCGCATAATTCCCCAGAGAAGATCGACCCCAGCAGATGCTCCAGTAAAAGTAGCGATACTTCAACTTTTTACACAAGTAAAGGTAAAAATATCCGTCCAAGAAATTATGCCAATAAAAAAATATTTGGTCAAATCTCTACTCAGCTGATCAAATGATCAGTTATTTAATATTTAAAAATTACACCAATAGGCGAACCAAAATGTAAAGTTAAGTAAAACATTTTGTATCTCTAGGACTAAAATAACAATAATTCATATAAATAACAAAAAACAACAAAATCAGGCAAAAGGAATTTTTTTCACATCAGTTTCTTTCAATAAAAATCTTATGAAACTTTAACAGAAACTGCAGGTTTGAGTCTGTCTGGTGGATTTTTGGTTAAAATATGTTTGTTTTTCATTGAGTGGGAAGAAAATCCAGAAATTTTATTCAAGTAAGAGTAAAAACATTTCATAATCAAGTAAAAGTTAAAAGTACAACATAGTAAAAATACTTCTAAAAGTAGTCGGAGTACATTCTTAAAAAAAGTTACTCAAGCAAATGAAACTGAGTAAATGTATCTGGTCACCAGCTGCAGCAGACATTAAATTATGACATTTTTTACTTGACATTAAACGTTGCATGTTTTCTGTTGTCTCTGTTCGGATGCTTCATGGTTCATTTCCGGTTCTTTTGGACCCTTTAGCAGCTGCAGGCGGTTCGTTGGTTGTTTTATCCTGGAAGAAATCAAACTGGTTCTTTAAAATCTGTCCGCCAGGGGGCGCCAGAGATCAGCCAGTTTTCTCTCTGAGCAGAAAAGTTGCGTCTGATGTCTCATATTTTCACAGTCAGATTATTTGTAGATCAGTGTCGGTGGAGGACATGTTCAGCCAATCACAGCCCTCTCTCAGGGAGACGGTTGTCATGGAGACGGCCACGTGGCTCCCGATGCCCCAGATTATTCAGCTGCTCCCCCCCTCTCTCCTTTGCCTTCCTTTCATTGCTCGTTTTGTTCCTCATGTCAGGATTTTCTCCTTCTTGTCTCTCTGACGTTTCAAACTTCATTTTCCTCTTCATCCTCGATTCTTTGACCTTTAGGAATTCCTGAAACCATCCCTCGCTCCGTTCTTCTCCCCCTTTTCTTCTCTCTCTCTCCTGATGGATGGATGTGGCTCCCGTTATGTAATCCTCAGCCAATCAGATTCCTTCAGTGTGTGACATCACAGAATGGAGGCCGGGGTGGGACATCCATCAATAACAACATTCTTTACTGATGTGTGTTTGAGCTGGTTGGTTGCCATGGTGACGGAGATTAAACGACCTCAGGTTTCTCCCTAATCGACCACGGTCACCTCCTCGTCGTGTCCCACAATGCACCTGTGACAAGGTGTTGCATAACCGCAGCAGAGCGCGAGGCTCAGC